ATATATATATATATATATATATATATATATATATATATATATATATATATATATATATATATATATATATATATATATACATATATATATATATATATAATATATATATATATATATATATATATATATATATATATATATATATATATGTATGTATGTATATATATAAATATATATATGGATATATATGTATATATATATGTTTATATATATATGTGAATATATATATATATATATATATATATATATATATATATATATATATATATATATATATATATATATATATATATATATATGCATTTATCATGCCATGCATCATATATATATATATATATATATATATATATATATATATATATATATATATATATATATATATATATATATATATATATATTATACATATATATATATATATATATATATATATATATATATATATATATATATGTATATATATATATATATATATATAATATATATATATATATATGTGTGTGTGTGTGTGTGTGTGTGTGTGTGTGTGTGTGTGTGTGTATGTATACATTATTTCTTCATCCCGGCGGTGCACCCACGGCAAGGATCCCCCAGTCAACGGCCGCCGCCATCAATGAGTGAATCAGCGGCGCCGAGGGCGAAGGCGGACCTGCACAGAATCAAGGTCAACAGATGCTCAATGGACAGGTGCGGCGACCTGGAGCTGGTGCGCTACGCTGGCCGGCGGGCAGACTGACCCGGCCCTCGTACCTCCGCGTGCCATCGTCAAGGCTGCAGCGGCGGCGGGTGACTCATGCTCCTGAAGGAAGCGGGGAGGCAAGGCGCGGGTTGACCCTTCGCCGTGGGAACACATCGCCTCTTTCTTCTTACTTTTCTTTTCTTCTTTCTTTTTCCTTTTCTTTTTTTCTTTCTTCTTCATATATTTTCTTCTTATCTTTTTTCTTTTGGTCTTCCTTTTCTCTTGGGGGGGGGGGGAGTATTTTTTTCCCCAATTGACCCGATATTAATGAAATACAAAGCTAAACTGAAAATTTTAAAGCATGCTGATCTTTACTTATTAACTGGCACCAACTTGGAGGTTGGAGCTTAAGCCTTAACACTTTATAGTCAACCCCCAAAGCTATGCTCAGACTGGCGTATATCCATAAGTCATCCCGTTATCAAACAACTACTTTTTCCTTTCATTCATTATATCTCTGCGGACGATGAGTGTTGTCTCCTCGCTCCGAGATTAACGCGCCGGATTCTAAAAATCTCCGTTCGAGCGCACCGGATTCTTGGCGATGACTGTATTCATATCCGCATCCTTACTCGAACCCTGCGTATGAATCCATATTTGGGAGTACGATTATATGTTTCCGGAAGACATGCGAGCGTAATTCTATAAAAAAAAAATGCTCTTGCTGTTCTAGATCAGATTATAATTAAACCAAACTGGTATTTTTATGCGTTAGACTCCATTTTCTGTTTTCAAATTACAATAAACCTTATACGACATGTTTATTTGGACGACGAAATTAATTGTGTGATTATGATAAAGATGGCATTGGTGATCATAATTAAAATATCGCAAACGTTTACAATAAATCTTTGTCATGACATATTATTACTGGTCTGTCATTATTAGAATGATCTCGCTTTGACATTAATATCATCATAACTAGTATCATTCATATCACTAATTAGCGCAGAATCATCAGTGTCATTATCATCACTATTATTGTTAATATCATTAGCGCAGCAGTCGTAAGAGTGGAAGAACACACTTGTTATATAGGTAATAGCAGCAGTAGTAACATCACCATCATCAGTTTTTAACCTATCTTAACAGTGACCGGAATAACTCTTTCACAATGATCATTATTAGCATCACCAGAATTGTCAATATCTATTTTGTCCTTGAATATTTTAACGATGCGAGAGGTGAACTCATTTCTAATTTCCCTTTCATTTCACCTGCCAAAAGCCACGGCCTACGCGAATGCATTACTAAAGGAAAATCCCCAGACATTCTCGCGGGAAAAACGGTGAAAACAGCACGCAAGGTTTTATAGCGTCTGTGCCGTTCCTTTAACCTTCGTGACGCTGTACGATCTGTATATCTGTGTTCGTGTTATCACTTACCGGGAGAAAAGGTCATGTTTATCAGGGAAATGACTTTCATGATAATGATTAGACGACCGCTGTGCTATACGCATTCCACGCGCTGTTTACTGACAGATTAGTTTGATATCGATTAGATTTCTGGGAACCGCGTGGCGTGTGGATGGAATGTTCTAGTATGTTGACTGGGAGCATTTTTTTTTCTTTCTTTCCTTCTCTCTTTGATATGTGCGGCGCATGAGAAGAATTCCCGGAAAACCTGTTAATAATTCTTCGAGAGCAATCGAAGTTTTCAAGAAAAGAGAGCTATGTTTATTATTTACATTGATGTTATATGCTAACAGGTGGTTTCTATTTTCTGTAGGTTTTCGGGATTGTGAAATATACCGATTTATTTATATATTTATGTTTAGAGAGAAAGATTGAGTGAGAGAGCGAGAGCGAGAGAGAGAGAGAGAGAGGGAGAGAGAGAGAGAGAGAGAGAGAGAGAGAGAGAGAGAGAGAGAGAGAGAGAGAGAGAGAGAGAGAGAGAGAGAGAGAGAGAGAGAGAGAGAGAAATGGATAATTAGTATATGTTCGATAAACGTTTCAGTAGCGCCTTTCATGTGATGTAGTTTGCGTATTAGGGATTCAGGACATTAATTAGTAAGATTCCTGAAAGTGCGTAGTTTGGAGAAAGCTCCGAATG